ACTTGCCGGACTGCGCCTCTGGACTCCGGCCCATTCATGGCTGGACTGCACTAACTCTGGGAGTCACTTGCATGTTACTCATATTCTACTCCTTCTAACCTTATTAAGTCATTCATAACAATCTGGCCTTTCACGCCTTATCCTATCAACTGGCTTAAACATGTTGGGATACGTTCTGTCGTCTATTACCTGCTTGGACCACATCGTATCCCAGACTCTAATCAAGGAGGTAGAACTCATAATACTTGTGTTCACGGTTAATATGCCATATGTTCGTTTATTATTAGTAAGTTTTCATTTTGGACGTGTTTAGAATGTTTTTTGATAAACTAGTAATCTTCAATTTGTGCATGTTTCATGTGGTAGGACTCAAACCTCTGCCTATAACGCACTTTCCGTGCGCACCGAGTGCTCGTTACCGACAGGGCCAAGCACAATCCATTGCACGTTCTACAGGCGGCATTGGTTTCTAGCCTGCTTAGCATCGACGAATTAAAAAGTTTGGCACGTTAATCATTTGACGTGGGCGATGTGCCAACTATAGCCTAAGAGTACGCCCCCTACGCTTTTATTGGCACTTTGCGAACCTGGCAGTCGCTCGTGTGCGTGTGTGTGTATAGGCGAAAGTGTCATGACACTAAATGACAAGCGGATTGCCTAGGTGCCTATAGCAGTCAGCCGTGCTTCGATAAATATCACGACTGTAAAGCCTACCCGCAGCGTACCAGCCAAGGAGATGACACATCAGAGAACAACCGAAGAAAAACGAGTTGCTGAGAGGCCTGCAGCAGTCAGCCAAACGGACACTTTCTACCTATTTGGACAAGAGGCAGATGATCAGACAAGGTGGTCCGTGCAGCGTTACAATCCAAACCAGCGGCACGCAGAACGGATCACCGACATGCAGTGGCATCGCGGAGCCACCTACAATGTCGTTGGCGGTGAGTTGCCTGATAGTTTGTTCATGAAATTTTTGTAGTTTATGTCCACCATGCCCTTTTGTAGAATAAGGTTACAGTCATCTCTGAGCAAGACTGCTGCAGGCGTACAGTAGCTGAAGACTATTAGAGCCTTTCAACCGTTGTATGCATTTCTTTTATCCATGCTCTTTGTTTTTATGTCCTCATTGTAACAAATGGTTTATAAAATAATAACAAGGCAGAGACGTGTTCACAATCATGTCAATTTGCCGTGAGAGCGTCCTCCTATTTATTTCTTAAACCAGAGGATCTAGCAGGCGGGATTCTCTGTTTTTTTCAATATTTCCTCTTGCCTAATTTCTGCCTTTTATCTGTCACCTTCTCTCTGGAAGCAGGAAGTATCTTTGTGGTTGGGGGAGGCACGCGCGTCTCTGAGTTTGTGGTGAAAGAGGCGCGTTGGCTTGAGCGGGCCCCTCTTGCCATCGGACGCCGCATGCACGCAGCCGCAGTCCTGAAGGCAAGTGGCGCAGAGAAGAATTTGTTGGGTGTTTTCGGTGGAGACGATGGGGCAGGCTTCCTCTCCTCCTGTGAAGTCTATGACGTCATTCGGGACAGGTGAGAACATACAGTCGCTATTTGTGCGGCGCGTTTTTGTTGCTGCCCTTTTTGTTTTTGCAAATCAGTTGCTGTCCTGTTTCTCACTCACGCACTCGCCTCTCAACAGATGGTATCTACTGCCTGACATGCGGGAGGAGAGAGGCCATGTGCCAGCTGCTGCCTGCTTGCCTGACGACAACCGCGTGTTTGTTTTTGGCGGTCGGAAAAGCCTATTCACTGGGCTCCTTGCTTCAGTGGAGTTTAGCCTCCTGGGAGCAGACTGGAAGGAGGCAGTAGCGACTTCTGAGTGCACTGCAAACTTTTGGCAGGCAGCAGCTCCCATGAGAACTGCACGCCAGGGGCTAGTAGCCACCGCCTTTCGGGGCCGAATAATTGTCGCCGGTGGACAGGATGATGGTTGGAAAATCTTAAACACCGTGGAGATGTTTAC